CTTAAATAGGTACATTTACTCAGGTGATCAGAATAAGAATTGTTTGGAGAGAGTCTCATCAGTGGGGGTGATGCTGCTTTGTTGTTATTAACAAGCTATATTAGTTTGGCATCATGATTCACAGCATCTTAAAAAGCAGAGACATCACCTTGCCAACAAAAGTCCGAATAGTCAAAGGTATGGTTTTTCCTGTAGTGTTGTATGGGAGTGAGAGCTGGACCATAAAGAAAGCTGACCGCCGAAGAATTGATGCCTTTGAATTGTGGTGCTGGAGGAGACTCTTGAGAGTTCCCTGGACTGCAAAGAGAACAAACCTATCAATTCTAAAGGAAATCAACCCCGAGTGCTCATTGGAAGGACAGATCCTGAAGCTGAGGCTCCAGTACTTTGGCCATCTCATGAGAAGAGAAGAGTCCTTGGAAAAGACTTTGATGTTGGGAAAGTGTGAAGGCAAGAGGAGAAGGGGACGACCGAGGATGAGATGGTTGGACAGTGTCATCGAAGCAACCAACATGAATTTGATACAACTCCGGGAGGCGGTGGAAGATAGGAGGGCCTGGCGTGCTCTGGTCCATGGGGTCACGAAGAGTCGGACACGACTAAACGACTGAACAAACAAACAAACAAACAATCATGATTCACAGAAATCATGTAATCTGGCTCTAGACCAGGGATGGGAAACTGGGGTCTTGTAGATGTTTTGGCTTTCAATTCCCATCAGTCCTAACAGGCACAGCCAATGGTGAGTAATTGTAGGGGTTTTAATCCTGGGAATTCTGGAGGGGCACTATGGACCACTGCTGCTATAGAGCCTGCAGGAGCAATTTTTGCCATTCTGAGATGCATTGGTGTAAAGTCTGCTGCTGGTTTTTCTGCTGCCATGATAGGATCAATGAATCTTTGACTGCTCTGGGGTTGTAAAAAGATGGGAGTGCTGACACCTAGTACTTACAGCACTCTCTGGGAGGTCTACAACTCAATTGCGCAGGCTTCACATTGCTTTTCCAGCAAGCTGGGTACTTAATTTACCAACCTTGGAAGAATGGAAGGCTGAGCCAACCTTGAGCCATCTACTTGGGACTGAATCCAGGTTGTGCCACTACTTTGTCATGAAACTACCAAGAGTTTCATTATTAGATGTATTTCTGATGGTGAGTTATCTGAGTGAAAGTCAGGAGGGCTGTTGTCTATACACATTGCTTTTCCAGCAAGCTGGGTAATTAATTTACCAACCTTGGAAGAATGGAAGGCTGAGCCAACCTTGAGCCATCTACTTGGGACTGAATCCAGGTTGTGCCACTACTTTGTCATGAAACTACCAAGAGTTTCATTATTAGATGTATTTCTGATGGTGAGTTATCTGAGTGAAAGTCAGGAGGGCTGTTGTCTATGTAATTTGATTTACTTTGATGATCACTAGTACATTTAATCAGATGTTAGTGACCTTCTGCTCACCTTGCAGTCTACTCTTAGTTCTGTTGCCCATGCAACATCTAGGATACTTGGGTCCTTCAAATAGGTTTCTTTACTAATGCCTTACATGAGAAGAGGGCGTAACTAAAAAGTTCACGCTTGTAAAGTTGTAGATGAATATATATGTTCCTCTTCTCCAGTGTGACATTAGCCCCATATAGGCATTACTTCCCTGTTTATAATCATATGCATTGAGAGGAGACCCTCCCCTCTATGTCTTCATTTGCTCTATGTGGAGGACAATGTGCATAAAGGAGATCAATGTACTGCTCACATGTAAGTGCTACACATTAACAAGAATACAGTTTCTCCAGGATTCTTGTGATCGGATGACTTTCTGATTAGACAATTCATCCGCTATCAACTTCAGGCTTTCACATGTTGAGGAAAACATGGAGCAGGATAGAAATGCAAATAAATAAATAAATAGATAGATAGATAGATAGATAGATAGATAGATAGATAGATAGATAGATAGAATCAATCAATCAATCAATCAATCAATCAATCAATCAATCAATAATAAAGTCTCATCATAGTTCATTTGAATAAATTTGGTGTGAAGCTAGATTGGGCTCCTCTCTGTGGTGCTTCATTAAGGCAATTTTGGTACCCACCTGTTACTTAGGAAATAGGGTTTTTTTTTAAACCAAGGGAGTGTTCTATCTTTCTTTTGTTGGTCTTAAAAAATTGTATTTAAAACATTACACTTTTTGTTTTAACAACAAAACAAAAAAGCAAACTTTTATTTAAAACATCACTTTTTTTCGTATGCCTTAAATCAACCATGTTGTGAAATGGATTGAATTTGGGGAGAAGGCAGGTTATGGATCAAATAATAAATCCATTACAAAGCAAAATTAAGTAGCAATAAATAATACTGTAACTGGGATTACACTTGTTTGGTGCTTCCTTGGAAGCAGTTTTTTTTAAAAAATTACACACACTTGATCTTAGCCAAAAGGCCGAGAAGCAATTTTAAATTCCTTTAATCAGATCTCAAGAGTCTGGCTTGTATGACACTGGGTATTTTAAGGCATTTAATTCCCTTTTGGTACAGACCTCCTAAAATAAGATAATCCCAAAATGCCCAATCTAATATATTTCAAAGAAGCTTAGTTAACGTGGATGTTGCCATGTTACTGTAGCCTGATGCTTCTTTGGCCTCACATATAGAATTAACCTTGCTTCCAGTTCTTTGTTTCTGAGACTAGTGCAGGCTGCCTTATGCTGGTGTTCCTATCGCTTTCAATCCATATTGGCCTGCAACCTCTGAAAAATAAACCTCCTATACTCCTCTCTTCCTCCCTCCCAGTGTTCTAATTTCCTTTGGCCAACATACTGTCTTTGAGAAAGACTAGTCTTTCCTCCCTCTAAAGAATATCTATCTTTCAAATACCTCCTAGAGTTACCTGGGGAATCTTAGTCAAGGAATATAGAAGAGTAGAGCAACCCTATTCCACTTTACGGTATATGCTTTGCATGAAGGCACTATTCATCACTGTCATCTACAAAAGGATCAAGGAAAGAGAAAAATCTAGATCCAAGACTCTTAATAACTTCTGTTTGTCAGAGTAGACATTAATAAACTCGCTCTGATTAATAAACTCCCACAGCTGACACACAGAGCCCTCTCTGCGGGCACGTGAGCCATAAGTTGCCAGATTGTTACTCCCCCCCAGCCAAACCTGCGGAGTCGGCTGCAGCCGCGGTGCTGGCGCTTTGACAGGTCAGGATCCAGAGCAGCTGGCGCTGGCAGCGGATCCGGAGTGGGGTCTCGAGTCACCTCCATGCCCAGCATTTCCCCTTCCTCCACCACTTCTGGTTTGGCCGCCACCACAGCCTGCTGCCCACTGGGTTTTTTTTTTATTTTTTTAGTTTCGGCACTCAGGCCCAAAAAGTTTCACCATCACTGTTCTAGTGAGTGTGCTGCCAAAATAAATACAATACTTTCATCATCACTGTTCTAGTGACTGTGCTGCCAAAATAAATACAATACTTTCAACTTGGAAATATGTTTATTTGATGCTACAATTCTCTCAATGCTATTAACCTTTAAAAAAGGATGGTCTGAGTGCTGCTAACAATGCAGGAAGTGGTAAGACTATTAGGCAAGTGCATATTGAGTAGTTTAAATATGCTTACACAAACATTAATACCAGCTGACTGATGTATCAGATTTGTAAACAATCATACCTAGAAAGTAATAGGATTCAATTGTCATTTTAAGAACTCTCCAACCCCAGGCGCAGTTAAAGGGTTTGTAACAACAGGTGGAACATTAATACTTGAAATGTCCAGGATTTGAAATAAATCTAGATTTTGTACTCAATTCTCAGATGCAACACTTTATATATACTGTACATGCATATCTTTTTAAATATCAAGTTCCATCCCTCAGTGTGCACTTATACCACACAGCTATAATAGTGGGATATGACTTTAGCTGCTATGTCTGTTTCCTGTGGTATATCGGAAATTGTACCTTGGTGAGATACAGAACTCAGAATTTTCTACTAAACATGTTAGTGCACGTCCCTCAACTATAGATTATTCAAAACAGTGCCTCATCAACTTGCAAATCCTAGGATTATGTAATATGAAGCCATGACAGTGAAGAGGTATGAAAGTGTTGGAACTGTGCACTGTAGACACAGAATCGTAAGGCCATGGAGTACAAACTCCTGCTCAATGTAGAAATCTGAATCTAAGTGTATCTGACAAATGGTTATTTAATTTTCTCCTGAATGCCTCCAGCGTTGCAGTGCTGACCATCTCCTCATGTAACTGGTTCCAATGCCATATTGCGCTAACAGGTGGAATTTTTTCGTGACATTCAGCTGAATTCTGGCTTTATGTATGGCCACTTACTAGCACGGCACAAAGTGACTTCATCAGAAGAAAGGCAGGGGAAAATGGAATGAAGACGCAAGGTGGGACCATAAGGCCAGGCTCAGGGGTGCCCTTCCAAAAAGCAGCGGTATGGCCATCCCATTCCATTCTGGGCACTGCTTACTAGCACTCATTTTGATAAATAAACAGACGGGGAATGTAGCATTCATTTGCTCTTCTGTAACTGAGATTTCTTTCCTAGGCTGATTTTTCTTGTATCTTGTGAACCTGTGTTTTCTAGTGTAGAGCATATTAAAAACTAGTTGGGTTCAGCAGCAATGCAGACTATGACTAAAATTCTATATATACAGTTAGTGAGAAGTAAATTCATTAACAATGAGTGTCACTTTTCAGTAGATACAATGAAATGCCTGATGAGCATTTCACCGACATGAAGGGAGCCACTTCCCAGAAGAAACAGGAATTCTTTTTAACCCTGTCCTGAAATTCTTCTGCTTTTCACTAAACATAAAGACGCTGAAAGAGTTTCCACATGTAGTTTTATAAGCCTTGCCGTCTAATGAAAAAAAAATTAGCAAAACGTCAGGATTTGTTCCCAGCTTATCTGCTACCTGATAATCATTCCTGTCTTTTGATAATATATTTAAACACTGCAAATGAAACACTAATTCCTATTCAAAATCAAGTTTTTATTTAGAATGGGAAAGAAAATATAGCTGTACTAGAGCACAAAGTTTGACTAGACATGGAAAATACATTATCATGAAGATGCCGACATAAACTACAGAACTGAAATTCTAGAGCATTATTAGTTTTAGACACCACACCAACCTGTGGCTTATTTTTAAGTCTGCATCAATGTCAGCTCAATCATGATTTTCACTAACTGTGATGTGCCATTACTTCTGAATTCACAGTGATAGCTATTTTCCCACTTCAAGAGTCTGCTGCACCCAGAGACAAGAAAGCACTTAGGAAGTGCTTTGCAGAGCAAAGACAAAACACAGACAGTTGGCTCTATACCATACTTTGTTGCTGTACATTTTGGAAGCTCAAATCGCAGTAAGAGTTCTTAACTAAGGCCGTAACAAAGAGAATGAGAAACAATTAGCCTCAGGTTTATGCACTTCTTTTCCTTCTTCCTTCAAGCATGAAGGGAAGAGAACATTCCCTCGTAGTCCTCATTTCTAGCTTGTGACAAGCCAGTTTGCTATATTTGGGAAAAGTGGCAAACTATGGCTCATCCCAACTGGCAGTAAATGGTTCTCATGTTTATTCTGTGCACAAAGAGCAATGGAAAAAAGGAGGGAGAGTTTCTGTAAACCTGAGGTGCACAGCTGCTCATTCAACAGCACTGGCAGAAGACAATTTGCTGTCTGAAGGGTCAAAGAAGAAAATAGGATGATTAAAGGCTTTTGCTCTGGGCTTTTATGACAGTAGAACTTTATTTCCTTAAATAAACTATTCTTAATCTCACAGATGGGAGAATGTGAGTAAGCATTTTCAGCCTCGTGAGAACAGGTGCAGGATTTCAGGCCTTGACTAGGGTCACCATGTGATCAGGATTCAGACTAGGGTCACCATGTGATTAGGATTCAGGATTTCAATCCAGTAGCCATCAGGATCTTGGACAAATGCCAATCCTTTCATTTTGCCTGTAAAATATGAATGCAGAATTAAACAATGAGGAGAGGGAAGGTTTGAACTACGCACACTTCAGGCCTCTAAAAATACACAAGGATTAATCTGTCTTCTTCAAACGGCAGCAAGCGATTTCAAGTGTTCGCTTTTATCCCCAAATACCATTTCTCCCAAAGGTTCAAGCTCATGACTCAGAACAGCCACAAGTTCAAGCATGTAATGCACCAAAGTTACCTGCAGTGCTTTATATGAACACATTCAAATAAAAGAAAATGAATATACATGTACTCTCTCTATTGATTCTTCAAATATTTCATCTTAATGACAAACACTTTGGGTGGAGGTTATGGCCATGGAGTGCTTCCAACTGAAAGCCGAAGGCAGATATGTGGCTTTTGCAAAAGGTTAAGGAGAGGCAAAGCTCCAGATGTTACTGGAGTACAACCCACAGCATTTCTCACTAACTGCTCGGTTATCAGGAACTGATGGAAGCCACAACCCTCCAACAGCTGTAAGGCCACACTTTGTTCACCACTGCAGCAAAGACTATAGCAGAGAGATGGAAGTTCAGGATTCAAATTGCTTTTATTAGCTGATATGCCAATGCCACTCACGTAATTTTTAAGGGGTTGTTCTCCACTTTGTGAACTCCACTGTTGTTCTAGAAACAAAAAAAACCACCCCCTCTATTGCAATGGATCTTCCTTTTGTGCTTCTTTCTCATCAAATTTATTTCTTATATATTCTTGAACCTTCTATTGCAACATTTAAGAGGCAGTGATCTTATTCATTTTTGCAGAAAAACTAAAGACTTCTAAGGTCATAGAATTGTAGAATGGTGAAGATGGAAGGGGCCTATAAGGCCATGAAGTCTAACGCCCTGCTTGATGCAGGAATACAAATCAAAGGATATCTGTCAGGTGGCTGTCTAAATTTCTCTTGAATGCCTCCAGTGCTGGAGCACCCAGCCTCTCTAGAGGTAATTGGTTCCACTGTCTTACTGCTCTAACAGTTAGGAAGTTTTTCCTGATACTCAACTGAAATCCGGCTTCCTGGAAGCTGAGCCCATGGTTGCATGTCCTGCACTCTGGAATGCTCAAGAACAGATCTTGCCTCTCCTCTGTATGACCGTCTTTCAAGTATTTGAAAAGTGTTATCATATGACCTCTCTTCTTCTTTTCTCAAGGTTAAACATGCTCAATTCTTTCAGTCTTTTCCTCATAGGGCTTGGTTTCCAGCCCCCTGATCATCCAGGTAATGCATCTGGATGAAGTGGGCTGCAATTCATAAACATTTTATAAAAGTCATTAGTCTTCAAGGTACCTAAGACTCTGTAATCTGAATCAATACTCATGTTTTACCCAGACTAATGCTTCCCACTGGATTCCCACTTACTGGCCAAGATGCTGTTGATTAGAGCTGCAAACTGCAGTATAGTTGATCCATTGACTTAGCGGGACTATCACAAATCAATTCTTCTATAAGTTTCATTGGTTCTATTGTGATTTACTATGGTAAAATAAGTGGTCTCACTGAAATCAATGGATATTACAGAGCTTTCAGCAAATTTCCATTAATTCAGTGGCCTACTCTTATGCAACTGAGTATACTAAGCCAATGATCCCCAACCTTAGGCCTCCAGATGTTCTTGGACTTCAACTCCCAGAAATCCTGGTCAGCAGAGGTGGTGGTGAAGGTTTCTGGGAATTGTAGTGCAAGAACATTTGGAGGCCCAAGGATGGGGACCACTGTACAGGATATTGGCTATAGGTGGAGAAACACTGGTCTACTCCAAAGACTTACCGTCATCTGGCTTTTTTACAAATTTCACTCCTAGCTCTTCAAATCTTTTACAAGCTGCATTTACATCAGGAACAGCAATTCCAATATGGCCTGAAGAAGAGTAAAACAATCAAAACCAATAGTAAATTAAGTGCATCTGTGAATTACTTCTCGCCTATGGAGGAACTTCGCTGAACGGTGAGTTTGAAAGCCATAGGAACGCATTGAACAAAGTTCAATGCGTTTCTATGGCTTTTTCCCTCCCGCACAGCGATGTTTCCCACAGCGAAGGTTAATCCGGAATGGATTAACCTCGCTGTGCGGGGCACCACTGTACATTTGTCTAGTTTCACTCATAAGGAACAAACAACATTACTGCAAACCATAGGAATAAGCCCCAAATTTAAGTCTCCATTAATCTAGCTATATCAATAAGTGTACAGGTCTTGTTGAGAACTCACATAGGTTGTGAGATGCTGACCTGTTAGAAGTAGGTTAATTTATGAGAAAATAAACTTCCTTGGAGCTACAAATGATAATCAGAGAAAATACAGAAACTCTTGTCTTTAAAACAAAAGCCAGATTTGGCTGGTAATATTTGGCAGTATATGTGTAAGTACAGGTATTTACTTTACTGCTATGTGGAAAGAAATGTTGGGCTGCATGTGGCTTCAGCATATCTTACAGGGATCTTCTTATGTTGCAATGTAAGCGTTTAAATAAGTAGTTATCAATTACCATGTACAAAGACCGACAAATGTGGGGTCACAAGCTACCTGCGATTATAGGTCATTCCACCCTGGGACAGTAGAAAAAATAAACGCCTTATATCAGAAGTTGTCTCTGACTTACGTCCTGCCATCTCTCATTTGTTCCCCAGCAGCTTATATTTAGAGTCATCATGACCCCCCCACCCATTTAAGTCAGTGGTTTTACTTCACCTTTCTAATATACAAAATAACTTTTTAATGCATGATAGAAATAAAACTGATCGGTGGAGATAACTTACTACTCTATCTGCTATAGGCTGATGGTAATCTTTTGCTTGCTGGAGAAATGCTCAAAGGGTGAGTTGCATCCGAACTCGCCAAAGGACAAATGGTGCACCAGGAGGAGAAAGAACCAGATTAAAAGTGTGGATCTGGGGCGCATATTCTTCTAGATCTTACACCTTGCTCTGAAAGTCTAATCTTCAAGAAACTAACGAATTATGGAAAGGGAAGTGCTGGATTCCTTTAAGATTTGGAACAGTTAAGGACAATAAGTCATTCTGCTTTTATCCAAACTTTCTGAGCTAGTGTAATTAGCTTTCAGTGTGTAATATTCTCACACGAAATCTGTATGGTGAGTATATCTGGCGCCTGATAATTTTTTGCCAGGCTGTCCATGTGCTACATGAGCTCCAGTAGCATAATTATTATTTTTTAAATAACTATAAAATAACAAAAAATGTTGCCACCTACTTGGCTCTTTAAAGGCTGAACCTATCTTTGAGACAGAAGAAAGGGAAAAGGAGACTGAGGTGTAATAGCAAGTACAAAAATGATGGGAAAAAGGAGTGTGGAAATTAAAACAGAAAACATTAAAATAGGCATTTATGTGTTCCATTTTTATTCCGTGAACATATGCAATTTTTGGTAGTCCAGTTTCATCTATTTTTGCAAACAAAGACTTAAAAGAGGAAGGAAATTACATATTTAATAAATTTTATAAATTTTAACAGTTACCTTTGCATTTAAGTACCTTAGTCTGAAGAGAATTTGACAATCTAAGATCTGTCATTATAAGATTCTGTGTCAGAATAAAATTCTTTAGATAATTGTTTCCATCTCTTCAAATATTAGAAATTTGGTCATTCAGCTCTTTGAATTTCTGACATTCAGAATTTATCAGGATTTTACTGATTCATATATAATTCTTGGGGAAAAACATATAGGGGAAATCAGAGTGAATTATTCTAACAACATACCAAATCCTCGCGGGTCTGAATTGCCATTATGGTAAGCTTGCTTCTCATCATTTTCAGTGCCCCAGTTGCTGAAAGAAAATAAAAAGGACAATTTGAGACAAAGCACATAAGAGAGGAGTTAATGTTTTGAAAAGCCCAAAGAGTGGGAGAACAGTATAGGAAGAACATATTAAAATAGAACGGCAAATGCAGAGCATTTATTTTCTCAGAGATCAACCAAAAGGAATTCACAATTTGAATCAAGTATTCCTGGAATCAAAAGTACCCAAGGCCTTTAAAAAAAATTATGCTGGTATACTAAAACATAGTTCTAATACAGTAACCTATGGAGATTAACATCTTAATTTTCTAAGAACACATTTTACCTTCATTTAATATTTGTTATGTTCTGCTCTCAACAGAGGCAAAACCCCAACATTAAAGGATCTCTATCAGGCATGAGTTGTATTATGTTTTGCCATAGTGCTACAAAAGTATATTCACAAGGTAGTCACTTTGCAGGGGTGTGAGGCAATTCTCAGCAGAACTTTATAAAGTTGTGTTTGCAGTCTGTGGTAGTTTATTATGTACTGAAGAACTGGCTTCCAGGCTTGTATGTATGTTCTGTGCTTTCAAGCTGGAACTAGCAAAGTGAGTCTAATAGGGCTTTCAAGTGAGTTAGAAATTTAAGGAGTGGTTTGATCACTTCCACACCCCTGTGAGCTTCCATGGCCAAGTGGAGATTTGCACCTTGTTCTCCAGAAGTTCTAGCCCATCAGTCAATCCACTACATCACACTGGGGATTGGCTTCCAGGCTTATATACCTGATAGTTGAACAAAAGAGTTCACAAACAATCAATAATTCTAATGACTGATTTCTAATTCATAAAAGCAGCAATTCTGTTTTCTAAGGCCTTTGATTTCCAGTAACAGACACAGACACAAACTTCTCACTTTTAGCAGAAAACAATCTGAAGCAATTAACAGAAAACACTTTTTCCAATCCCCCCCCAAAAAGAAAAAAGAAACTCGCCTTCAGACATTCTCTGAATAAGCAGCAAAACGTATAATTTATTAGATTTAACATTTTATAGCAGTAGTGGGCAAGTTGTGGCTTTCCAGATGTTGTTGAACTACAATTTCCATGATCTCTCATCATTGGCAAAGCTTGCTAGGATTGCTGGGAGCTGTAGTCCAGTAAGAGCTGAGGGCAACAAATTGCCCACCATAGTCTTATTAGCTCACCATGCAAGCGTGACAACCACTTTGTTCGAAATAGTTTGCTGATAAGACTTTCTCTACAGAAGGATTCACAGCATGGTATCATTTGGAATACTTCAGAATTTTTTCTTGAATATTTTGTTCTTGATATAAATACTGTAGTCCTTTAAAGCTACTCATATGAGAAATAGGAGCATTAACAGGCAACTGATTTAAGATCCACAGTTGGGCAATATATTAGGACCAACCAAAATGTCACAAAATAGTGAGCAAAATTTGGAATTTTCCAGAGTATCCCTCTAAAAGTTGTTGGACTATACACTCCCAACATTCTTTGACTGCTTGTCATGCTGTTTGAAGCTCATGACAGTTAAGAGTCCTACAACACTGGGAAGGCTACATGTTCACCTCTTATGGGCTAGATCAGTGGTTCCCAACCTTGTGCTAGCCAGGATTTCTGGGAGTTTTGGTCCAGAAACATCTGGGGACCCAAGGTTGGGAACCACTGGACTAGATGATGCAAATAAAAACCATTTGCATGAAAGAAAATATAAACAAAGTCTTAAAGAATGGCTGGAACCTATTGTGTGACTCTGCAAAATTGTGACAATAATAGTGCAGAACAGCTATAGTGCTACTCATGAAGCACTTCAACATGTGAGCCATGCAACAGATGCAATGGGAACCACATAAGCAATTACTCAATCCTTATTGGGCAAACATATGCAGGCATAACTTCATGTTACATGAAGACAAACAGGAGTTCAGCCAGTATTTCAGGTTTTTTAAAAAAGGTACAAGATTGTAAAAGCACTGTGATAAGGGCAGGTACAGACAGAATCCAGCCCCATGTTTTATCTTCCTTTGCTTGAATATCATATTCACTACAAGACATGCTGCTCAGAATTTGAGGATCTTATGTTACGCAACAGCAATATTTTAAAAAAGTTTATTTTTAGCAACTAGCACAGTCTATTTTCACCAACACATTCTGGATATGTTTTGTTTTCACACCACAAACATATGTTGACATACTGACAAGTGCTGAAGAATACCTTGTTTTGATTTGAAACATATGCCAAAACAAATGAGCATTTTAGCAGTATGTCACAGGCATACGATTAAAGAACAGACTCTGTGTGTAATGAAATCTTATTCCTAGATGCCAAACAATCCATCACTTCCTTCACTTTTTACTTTGTGGCTAATTTTGGCTATGACACCACTTCCATTCCCTGGGTTTACATTTCAGGTGTTAATATGACACAGTCCACTCCAATTTAAATTATAGTTTATATGCTCCAAAAACTGGGGGGAAATATATCTGGGAATACGTTCATAGATGCTGAAACAGAACATTAACAGATTTATATGGTATTAAAGATGAACATAAAATTGTACCAAAGATCAATATAAAACTGAGGTAGGACTGACAGTGTTCATAGTATCTCACAGATATCAACACCCTCTGGCACCAGAAACAAGATGAAAAGCATTTGTTCTGGATGCACAAAATCCTAGGTTCAATCCGTGACTTCTTTAATTAGGAGAAGGTCAGGTAGCAGACAACAAAACATCTGTCTGTGACTATGAGAGCTGTTTCCACCCAGAACAAGTAATAACGGGCCAGATGTTTTTGGACTACAACTCCCATAAGGCATGACTGTGCTGGCTAGGGTGTCTTGAGAGCTGTAGTCCAAGAACACCTGGGTACCATCGGTTCAGATGGATAGTCTGACTCTGTATTAAGAAATTTCCCATGCAAACAATCAGCTGCATCCCGAAGGCTTAGTGAGTCACTAATTTGCTTGGTGTGTGAGAAAGTCACTGACATCACATTACACTAGAAAAATAATGTAATTTTATTCCGTATAGCCACCCATACAGAAGACTCAAAACAGAATGACTAAAAATCAGAACTGTTCAGTTTTAACACTTACTGTGTCAGTTCGACTGTGGCCTTTCTCGAAAAAGTCCATGCTGTCCTTTCTTTCGCATCTTTTGGAATATCATTTTTATCTTCATAAGCCAGGAAGTAGAGGGAGAATTTCATAGAAGGGAAGTCAAACTTCTGCAGTAGGCTAGAATGGATTTATGTAAGAAAACAGAAAAGCCACACATTTAAAGTTTTAAAGTTTTGTATTCAAGTCCCTGTGGCTGTTCTCTATAGAAGGATCAGAATAAGCCTTCAAAGATTGGGCAACTCCTCTTGCAAAAAGAAGCCCCAAATTATTATGATGTCCCTATCTTGTAGAAGCCTCCCATTTCAAAGGATTCTTTAAGCCCCAGATGTAGATTTCCTGAAGAACTGTAGGCCACGAAGGGTGGTCAGAAACAACCAGCCCAACTGCATAGGTCTTCTGCTCGCTCTTCTCACTCACATTAACTACAGAATCCTGAAGCTGGATAGCATAGCAGCTTTTATTTATTTATTTAATTTATTTATTTGACTTTTATACCACCCATCTAGATAAATCTACTCTGGGCGGTTTACAGTCCAAAAAACAATAGAATTAAAAACATAAATTAAAAAAAACTAAGCAAACATAATCCATAATCTTACTATTATAAATAGTAAGATTTACTTCCATATATAGTATGTTATTATATTGCCATTTTGGGACATTTTATTGTACAGTGGTGTAATCTTACTATTATAAATAGTACGATTTACTTTCATATATAGTATATTATATTGTCATTTTGGGACATTTTATTGTACAGTGGTGCCTCACTAAACAAATGCCTTGCGGGACGAAAAACCCGCAAGACGATTGGTTTTTGTGATCACTATGGTGCCTCGCAAGACTTTTTTTTTAGACCGATACGTCGCAAGACTTTTTTTTTTGAGACCGATGTATGTATAGGGAACCTCACAAGACAATTTTTTCACAAGACGACATTTTTGCAGAACGAATTAAAATCGTCTTGTGAGGCACCACTGTATTCTATTATTCTTATTTGCTGATAGCTTCATGAGCAGTATGTAAGAACAATTTTTTCTAAAAAAATAAACAGAAGGACTTGCATTGAAGCACACAAATGCTTCATCTGACAGTTACATCACGATGCAGCAACATAACCCATAAAGCTACCTTCCAAGTGGCAAATCCAGAACTTTGGCAGGAAAAATTATCCAATACTGAAACATCCCTACCTTGTAGAAGAGTCGCAATCCCTGAGCATCCTTGGGAACACTTTTTATTTTGAATACTGCACTGTTATGGCCCTGTGGAGCCAACCACATATATATACACACCAAGAGGCAAGAGATATCATAAGTTTTCTTTTCAAACTTCATAGAAAAACATCAGCTTTCTTTTTTTCTAATCCATCCTTGGTCCACCTTTCATACCACTGTGTCATATGCATGTTTTGTTTTGAACCCTACAACTGCCCTGGAAGTTGGGCAGTGGCTGGTTGTTACTTCTGCTTGCATTTCCATCACACTGGTATGTCTTAGCTCAACATCAGCTAGTCTCTGCTGCTCTATGTTTCTTCCCCCTTTCTCCCAAATCTATTTATTTTCTGTCTCTGAAGCCTATGGTGGACACCAGCATTAAAGCTCTCTTTGCCTCACAGGCTTTCAAAGGCCTGCCTACCCATATCCCTTGGGCAAGTACTGTATGAGTACAGTGTGACTCTCTAAATGGTGCGCGGCTGCAACTTCCAATATATTTTTTTTTGCCAAAGACTATGCTGAAATAGCTGCAGCCCACTGGCAAGGGAAGGGCCACCTTCTGCTTTTTTTTCTTTTGGACAAAGACTACTTTCCTCTAGTCCAGGTAAATTTCCCAGTCTCCTTAAAATAATAAACATGTGCCATCAAGGCAATTCTGACCCTTTTCAGGGTTTTCCAGGTAGAGAAGTGGTTAACCATTCCCTTCTTCTGAGGGCTCTCTAAGACTGTGCAGCTTGCCCAAGGTCACACAGGCTGCCTTTACTCTCAGGAGGCACAGAGGGGAATCGAACTCTCAACCTCTGACTCACTGGCCAGATAACTAAACCACTGAGCTATCCAGACAGGTTTTCTCTCCCTCAGTTACACCTACTAAAACTAGCACAGTGTATCAATGTAAATATAATTAACATGGATAGGAAAGCATGTCACTTTGCAAGAAGTGAACAAAGTGTTTGAAGCCGAGTCAATAGAAATCTAGAGTTTGGGTACGATCCTTGTCCTCTCTCTACTGCCACCGATAGCAAACAATTTACCAAGGGCTGGAGTAAAGAGAGGAAATTGAGCATAAACAAGGCTGGCAACTTCCACTCAAGAATAGCGCTTGATGCTCAGTGAATCTTCTACAGTACTAGCACTTAGGGAGGTTGATGAGCAGTAACACTTTTTCAAGTAGAAATGGCATAGGTCACTTCACTGTTACAGAACAGAGCACCTGGGTTCTGTATTCACCTTTCTGTTTCTACTTAAAATTATTTAAAAACATGGACTTGTGTCCAATTGTCCCTCCATGAACCTTAGTCCTTCTTTGTTCTAGTGAGTCCTTTGTTTTAAAGGGAGAGGCAAATTTTGCCAATTTTCCATTCAGCCTCCTGTACTATGTTTCATGTTGCTCTAAAAAGTCCCTCAACCATTTGGAGCAGAATTTCAAGACAGGAAAACTTCTTCCATAAGCATCTACTAGCTTCTACAAACAGAACACCACAGTTTAATTCTATTCACTTAAACCATGTTGTATCATCTAACCAGTATTAAAAATAGATTATGCAACTACAGATCACATTTTTTCCTTTTTCTTCTTCTTTTCCCATCTTGGACTCTGTGATTAATCTGGATTTTATTTTAGTTTATTTTTATGATATATGTAAACCATCTACAGTAGACACGTTCTAGATGGGCAGTATAGAAGTCTAATAAATAAAATAAAATAAATAAATGTATACAGGACTTAACAGGCTTGCTTTTGAGAATAGGGAATTGAACCATAATGATGAAGACTAGCCAAGAAGAATTTGTACTTACGTCATTCCAAGAACTCTAGTATAAAAATCCAGTGACTTTTTAGGATCTTTTATTCTTAACATTGTCTGTTGCATCAAAAAATCCTGTAAGGGAGATGATGTACATTACATATTTGTCTATAACAAATATGACATATTTGTGTATCATGTGTCACTAATATTGAAATACAATTTTTCCAGTAAATTAAGTTCATACAGGAACAAAAATTGCCAGAGTCAAAATATTAAGCTGATTTTACACAGCAAAACCGAACTGTTTGGAAAGTATTCTGTCCTGGGCTTCAGGATCAAAGCTTGGAAGTAACTTACTAAAAGAAATGCCATTACTTGTTACTTTCCTTTAAACAGAAAGCTTTGTCACTGTCATTACTTTAAATGCTGCAGTAACAACATTACATGTGATCCAAAATGTTATTGTTAACTTCTGTTTGGTCACATTTGGAAGCAAGCATAGTTTTGTTGATGTTTTTAAAATATCATTTTTAAAAGCTACAAAATGTAAAGTGTTATTAATGGTTATTTGAATGAAAATAATGTATCACTGCTATTCCTTCCTATTTGCTTTTCAAAAATACATAGCCAAAATCCTGTTACTTAGCATTAAGTAAGTTGCACTAGAGTACAAAGGAGTAGAACTTAATTATCAGGGAATTGGTGAATCAATTCTTTTGTAAGTTCTAGTGATTCAAATAGACCTACTGTAACAACTACTTTCCCTTCATGGATTGTTGCCTTGTCATGGCGAAGGGGCTTGAGTAATTCAGAGAATCCATGGGCTATGCTGTGCAGGGCCACCCAAGACGGACAGGTCATGGTGGAGGGTTCTGACTAAATGCAATCCACCTGGAGCAGGAATTGGCAAGCCACTCCAGTATCTTTGCCAAGAAAACCCC